AGCAATGCTGCAGAATTCAGAGTGAAAAATGGCCCTGGCAAAAAAATAATAGAAATTAAAAAAAAAAAGCTCCTGGCCTTTTGTCTTTACCATTTCTTATCTCACTAAGCTATGTTACAGAAAACAAGTCCCTACGCTTTCTTAGCTACCTGCACTCTCTTCCACCACAATTGCTTTTGGCCTCGACTGGCTGGTTACAAACTTGTGGTACTGCACGCACTTGGCTCATCCTGTTCTCCCTGCCGGGGACACATCTCCATCCTCCCAGTCTCCCACCATCCACCAAGGTCCAGCTCAAGTACCAACTGCTTACCTGCTCCTCTCAGCTGGCCGTGATTTCACCTTCCTTGAACCCTACTTTTGCTCCTGCTAAAGCTGTTTCACGTTCTACTGAAAGCTGTATGGATACACACGCTGGTTATTCAGCTATTGTCTCTCAGCTTCAAATTCACTTTTCTATAACCTGCTTTGTGTTCCTGGAGGGTGAGACTCTGCAAACGCACTTTCTATTAAGTCCTGCCAAAAGTGGTTATTAGAGGGAGATAGGAAGGCAGGAGAGGAGAAGAGAGTTCCTTCTTTCTTCTGTTTATAGGTCTATCAGCAATTCCCCAGCAATGGTATTTTGACATTTATATATACATATATCAGCATATATATATACATATATGTATGTATAAAGAACTGCCCCATAGGGTTTCCAAGGAGCGGCTGGTGGATTCAAACTGCTGACCTTTTGGTTAGCGGCCAAGCTCTTAACCACAGCGCCACCACGGCTCCAGCATTTATATATATCTACATAAATATAGGAAACCCTGGTGGCGTAGTGGTTAAGAGCTATGGCTGCTAACCAAAAGTTGGCAGTTCGAATCCACCAAGTGCTCCTTGGAAACCATACAGGACAGTCCTACTCTGTCCTGTAGGATCACTATGAGTTGGAATCAACTCAACGACAATGGGTATATAATGATATTTTGCCCTAATAGCAGCAGTGGTTTCAGCCTCCATATTCTTTTAGCACTTCTAGAACTAGCCTCCTATGCCCCCTCTCAGGGGTATCAGCAGTGGTCTGGCGGAAACCCCGCCTCAGAGGTTTGAGCTCCTGCTCTGCAGAACCCATCCTCTGACCTTTTAGGTCTGATACTCTCAGCCTCTTCCTTTTAAATCCTCCAGCTTTAGGGGTGGTGCTGCTTCCTGCAGTTTTTATTTCTGGGTTACACTACTGTTCCCCTTTTGCTCATTTAGTCCTCTGATATCCAATTCCCTAGAGTAAATCCTCTCTGTTGAAATACCTAGTGTGGTTTGTTTTCTTGACTCAACCATAACTGATAGTGTTTGATACTAGGAGTGAGGTCAGGACCCTCAAAAACCCAACAGACCCTCAAAGATGGGGTTCAGAAATTGATTTATGTCCTTGGCCTTTGAATGCTGTGCGGAGCAACTTGTCAATGGGGAATGGACTACTGAGAGTGAAAGGTCAACAGGCATAAACCGGGGGTGTCTCTTGGTCACCCTAATCATGGCAGTAATTACGAATACAAGAACTGTGGGTTTAAACGACTTTGTTCAACTGGAGAGCTCACAGAAAGGAAATTATTAGCTCAGGGTCTTAAACTCTAAGTTCAAGTCCCACACAGAGAACCAGAAAGGCTCTATGGCAGTCCAAAAAGAATCTCATTTCTTTAGCCAAGAGATAATCTCACTGAAAAAAATTACCCCAAATTTTGTGTGGGTTATGGAATAACAATGTAAGTTGAATTCGGACTTGCCATGACTCTTATGCGAAAAGGCATTGACTGAGAAGGAATGGAACCCTGGGATTCCAAACGGGCACATCTGGGAAGACTCAAATGAAGCTGAGAATCTTAAGCCTCAGGTCTCTATGCAGTGGGAGCATTTTGCCTCTAGACCTATAATTAGAATCAGATCCCAGCATGGTCCAGGAGGAAAAAGCAAAGTCTGACCTGGGAAGAATTGGCTCATACTCCAAAAGAATTACATTTTGTTAGTTTATGTAGGCAGAAATCTTGGAATTATGTGTGAGAATGGAGTCAAAGGAAGACAAGGCCAAGTTTATGGATTTGTTTGCACTAATCAGAGTCTGGATTTAATGTGTTAGCTCGCCCAGCTGGCAGTGGCTCTGCTGGTTTTCTTGGTTGGTTTAGTGACATGTGGACTCTGTGGTGACCTACAATCAATGTGAGATGCTAGAACTTTCTGGTGTAATGTAGAGAAAGATTCCAGAGGCTTAGGGAGATGGGAATGTGTATTTATGTGGGGCATGCACACTCAGCCATGTCTTCTGATGGGGTCCAGAAACACTCCCTTCACTAACATACTAAGAAACATATTAATGAGGGAAGCACCCATATTGTTGAAAAGCTCTGTGGTGGCTATCCTCCTTAGGCTAGCATTAATAGTGAAAAATGTCACCATTGAGATGGGTCCAACCAGGAAGAATACAAAAAAAAAAAAAAAAAAAATTCATGGCGGTCAAGTTGATTCCGACTCACAGCGACCCTATGGGGCAGAGTAGAACTGCCCCATATGCTTTCCAAGGAGAGGTTAGTGGATTTGAACTGCTGACCTTTTGGTTAGCATGCAAGGTCTTAACCACTGCGCCACCAGGACGATAGAAACTATATAATAGGTATTTCAACAGAGGGAATTTAATTTGGGTATTGGTTATATCAGTGTTGGAGGGCTGAGGAAGCAAAAAGAACCATTCACTGAGGTCACACAGAACTAATAAGCTAGGAAGCAGCTACCACCGCTGGGGCTGAGAGAACAAAGGGAAGAAAGTCAGGGTTACAGACATAGAAGCTTGGAGGAAGGGCCCTGTAAAATTGGGGCTGAGGTGTCCAAGAGAGGGTGCTGCCGTGTTGCTGTTGCTGCCTCTGAGTGGTCTGAGAGGCTGGTTCTGGAAGTGCTTCTTAAAGAATACAAAGGCTGAAACCAACCGGCAAATCCACTGCTGAGATGATATGACAGGAACAGTCAGCAGATTCCAAGAAGGCAGTTCCTTCTCCCTGCCTCCTGCCTCCTTGCTCCCTCTAGCGCCCCCTATTGACAAACAGTGACAACAACAACAAACCTAATAGAAACCACTTAGTAAAGAAGAAACGTAGTTTGTGGAATCCTAGCCTAGTGTCCCTAACAAACGGGTGGATTTGGAATTGAATGGCAATAGCTTAATAATCTGCACGGAACCTACTTTATCTGCTCTAGTTTAAAAGCAAACGCCTCAAAGATGGGGGCATTCTTGGAACCCTCTTCCCTCGCCATGACCGTGCAGGGTTTAGTAAATATTTGTTGAACATCATGGCTTAGTCAGTATTTGTTGAACATCCCTGCAACAGTACAATCCGTCTTGGACCTCAGATCTCAACATTTACGAACACAACACTCAATTATAGTGTTTTATGTCTCTAGCTAGAAAGTTTCTCCCACTCCATGCAGGATCATTTTTAGAAAGTCCTATCAGGAGAGCAGAGCCTTTTGTATAAATGGAGTAATCTCTGGCTGTCAGTGGTTTGAATAGAGAAACTGAGGGCAGCTTAACTGCTCCTGTAAAATACCTTTTAAGAAGAATCATTGTTAAGAGGCAAGGATCAGCTTCCATGGTGATGCAGGGACTTCTGAAGAGTTTGCAGATAAAGAATATAACACAGCGTCTGAGAAACTTCCAAGTCTTTCTAAAAATAACTCAAGAACCAGGAGAAAAACTCAAGTATTTACACCCACCCAACATGTTTCTTAACCAAATAAGGCTGACACTGGGAATTTCCAGTGGCCTAAGGAGTTAAACGTTGAGTACCCAGCTCACTGAGGAAGGGCCAACACACAGTGCTTGGATCAGAAAATACAGTCATGACAAGCTGTATAGTGAGGGCAAAGAACTTTTAATAATGGCCTTAAAATGATGTTGATAGTCAAATGCTCAGCCCAGAATCCTCCATGTCAAATTAATTACACTTCCCTAGTCTTTTTCTTTCTATTGAAATAAAAATGATAATAAACGAGCAACAGGATTTTGCAAGATATATATCAGCTTCTTTTTTGAAATACACAGAACTCAATGAATATCAATTATATTATGCGCTATGCATGAAAAGACTCCAATCATTACGTACTGGGCAGAATTACTTTTATTTCTATGTCAAATTTCAAAGACAGATACCCAGAAATTGCTACATACATTATGCATTTACACCTCTAATTATTTTTCGGATGTCATTTTGAACCCCAATTCTAATGAATCCACTAGGTCACGGTGCTCTTCCCAATACTATTTTCAGGAAAAGACTGACTTAAATCTGTGTCAGACTGGAGTATTTTATGGAAAATGCAGGTCTTTATCAAATGAAACCTGTTTATTGTTAAGGAGTTACATGGACTATTGGGTAATATTTATATCCTAAAACTGGACATTTTCTTCTCAACCTCCATACCAATGCAGCTTAAGAAAAAGATGATTTATCTATTTTCTAATCATTTGTAAAACAGAATGGAAATAAAGATCACGGGACACTCAAATCATTGAAGCAGGCAACAAAGATTACAGAACCATAGAATATTCTGTGACCTGCTACATTGTTGAGAAGAGCAACAGGACGAAGAGATTTAAGTAGAAAACTATATTTTAAACATGGAAGACTAATGTTTAAAGACTGGCCAATTTGTTTCCCTCTAGAAATCTACAAGTACATGGTTCTCTAGGGAAGACTAATCAATTAAAACCCTACAAGCTATTCTATTTGGGAGTGGAATGACGAATACATTTCTCTTGTTATTACATAAATGAATCTCCTCTCCAGGGCTTTGAAATATAACTTTATCGAGACACAGTGAATTTGTGTGTCATCTCATCTTTTCGCGTTACAGCAAAATTGATTTTATGATTCCTTACTCATAAATTACAGGCCTGAGGCAGTAACAGACTTGGAGCTGCTTTTTCTTTGTCTTCTTCCCTAGTCTCACAGGCTGGGCGTGTCCCTTGTTCCTTTTTTTTCCCAACCACATCTAGCTCTTCAAGATTACAATTCCGGTTGTTGTTCTCAACCTAAAAATAGGTTTTGAAAAAGAGTGGTCTAGACTGGGATGCGTTCTTGGCCTCTAAACTAAATATTATCCCTAAAACCATGTGCATATCATTGGAATTAAACATTTTGTTAAGAATTAATAGAATGTTGCACAACTTGAAGAATGCAATCGATAATCAACGTCACTGAATTGTACATGTGGAAATTGTCGAACTGGTGAATGTTCTGCTGTGTATATTCTCAACAACAGAAAATCAAATAAATTAAAAAAAAAGAATACAATGATCACCACGCAAATGAACGTGCATAACAACACGGGTATAATAATGAGACCAATGGCCACAAAGATTGAACAATGTCTTCCTTTTCCCTTCACTTCTACCTCCTGAGATGAGAGCAGAGACTCATGGTAGCATTTGAATTTCTGGCAGTCTGCTAGTAGGTCCTGTATGGATTCGGTCACTCAGTCAAGAGAATTATTACCTTAATACTTTTTTTTTTTAAAAGAGATTCTCTGTTGGTCCCTAATATGCTGACTAGTCTAATAAACTAGAGGGAAAGGTGACCTCAAAATATAAAATTATAAAGCACTCTAAATTTTCTTTAACTCCTCAGACTCACTCTTGAGATCAGGTAATTCCTTGAGGATATCTCAAGAAGATTGGGTATGAAGGGAAACAGAAGTCAGGTCTCTTCATCTTGCTTCCCAGCCAGATGTGAGACCTGGCCTGTCTACCTGCCTTCCAGCCTGACCCCAGGCTTAAGTTTCAGGAACGGATGGGAGGTTCTGGGATGAGAACCCAGTGGAGGTTTACACATTCCATCTCTCCACATAAATCCAATCTGTCAGTCTTCTGAGTTCACCTCTTGTCTCCATCAACTTCAGTTGGTTCTTTCTCTTAGTGGGATACAGCCACTTTGTGCCCTAGCCCAGATGGTAATGAAGAAAATGGTCAAGGGAGCATTGAGTTAAAGCAAAGCAAGGAAAAGGTTTGGTTCTACAAGTATCTTAGCTAAACCATATCTTTGAACCACTTTTGAAAACCTACTTAAATCTTTTGGTTTTAATATTTCAATTGACTTTTTGCGGTTCCAGAAAGAGATCATTTAAATCAGAGCAGTTAATTACTAGTTATCAAATGACAAAATGTGGGCCACAAAAAGATCAAACAGAAAGAAAAAGCACAATTGTTTAGGCTGGTGCTTTACACCAGTCTCAGAATGAAGTAGGTGAAAGGAAATAGTTAAGCACTGTCCATACAACAGGGCACAGGACAGTTTTCCATTTCTTACTGAGATGACTTCTTTATAGCATGGTTATGACTTCTTAGAATATGTGGCATATCAACACTCAAGAATAAGAATATAATTCATTCAAGACTTGATTTTTGAGATTTCTCCCTTTTAGATGATCTGTGATACTTTTTTTTGCCCTGTGTTCTCATAGCTCTGGGTACTGTGAGACCCACTGGGATTACTGGTTTCACAGATGAAACATGGCAAAACTCTTAACAGCAGTTTCAACCAGGTTTTTGGGCTGGAGATCCAATTATGCATTCTAAAATGCTGTATTCTTTTGATTCAGGGCAAGGGGGATAAATTCACCTCTTCAGTGCTTAAGCCTTACCTTCCCGCATCCTTCCAACCTATTATCCTTTTTATTTCTTTCTAAAGCTATTTTGAGTAACACTGGCTGAAAGAATCTTTGGGTAGGTGGGATTAATAACTACACTTTTCTCTTTCTGGTTGTTGCCATCCATTACATGTTTCTTTCAGTTTCCAAATAAGGGACTTTGGCAAACACACGAATAGAATAAGCCTAAAATCTAATTGTTTTAAATGTCAGTAAGAAAGAAAAGTTTTCCTATGTGTTAGACAAATATTAAGAAATAATGCTAAGAATGACTTGTTTTTATAACACTTGCCTAAACATTCTTCCCTTGACGGCAGCGATTATTAAGGAATGTTGTCAGATGCCGTAAAGTCATAGTGACCCTACGGGACAGAGTAGAACTTTCCTATGGGGTTCCAAGGAGCGGTTGCTGGATTCGAACTGCTGACCTTTTGGTTAGCAGCTGTGGTCTTAACCACTGTGCCATCAGGGGGCTCCAAGGAGTGGTGTGGGGAATATTTGTGAGTCTCACTCAGGGGAATTTTTCAATCTACATATTCCCCCCCTCCACAGATACTCTGAGGTACTCCTCCTTCTTCTCTCCCTAGAACCAATGCTATGGCGACCCCTGGTTGCAGTGTACCATGCACCTTTGTGTGTAGGGGGGTGGGGAAAAAACATGACAATTATTGGTTTAGACTTATCCGTGGATAAAATGTTTCCAGTTTGAATTCTACAAAAATCTAAGACGACATTTTGTTTAAACTACATTATTTATTCTTAGATCATCCCTCTTAGTCCTGCATGCATTGTTAGCCCAAAAAGTTGAACTTGATCACAACCTCCTTTGAAGAAGTGAGAGTAGGTACACAATCACCATCTGAAGTTGCCTCATGATGGCCCAAGAATGCCAGACTTTGGTAACACTGTCAGTAACCTACACAATGTTCAACAGAAAAATCTACCAAATATCCTGTTTAATGTAAACAAGGCAGGAGGGAAAACAGAGTATTACAGTAACACTATTTTACAGGGCCCAGAAATACGATTATCTATCATGTTTTAACACTGAGTGTCAAAGTGACATGCATATTTGGATTTACTGTACAACCCAAAATATAATTACCATGTAATTTGTGGTTGTAGTACTTCACTCTAACTTTATTACCTATGAAATTCATAATTAAATGGTTGTTGTAAAGTAATGCAATAATTTATGGAAATATGTTGCCAGGAATTTATGAAGTAATTCTATTACTTGTGCCCCGTAAAATTAAGTGTAACAATCTTTACACTAGCAACAGTGTAAGCAAGCTAAGAATTTTGGTCCTTTTATATATATATATAGATATAGATATATATATATGTACATATATGTACACACATGATAATGTACAAAAAAAAAAAGCTATGAATCCACTCATAGCTTCCATATTGCACAGACAGATACACTGTGAGAACCTGACACAGTTATGATGTGAGTAAGACAATGATAATTGGCTAAGGACAAATCTGAGTTCTATCAAGTAAAGAATGTGGCTCGTTACTAAAAATAAACCCAAAGACTGTTAAAGAGAAAAGTAAAAAAAAAAAAGTGCATTCCTATCTATACAAATGTGAAGCAAGGCTGAGTTCCCTTCGGAACTTGTTAGACTAACCAATTGTTGAGGTGATACTTTCCAGCCAACGCAGCGCAGTTTAGTCATGGTTTTACAAGTACTGAGTAATGGGAATATTCAGCTTCCCAGAGACAGTAAGAAAAAGACTAGTGATGTAGTACAATATTTCACTAACAAATCCAATTCATTGTGAGAACTTGTGCTGGCTCTAGGTCTGAACTAAAAATGAAAAGAAAAAAAAAAGTCACAAGAAACTCTCTTTGTAAGAGAAAAAAATAAAAAAAAAATTATACTTTAAGCTTTAGCTAATTAAAAAGCAAAATCATTACAATAACTTAGGACAATTATGTTTTCAGAAGCAGCATACACACAAAAAACATAAGGGTTAAAGCTTTTCTGGGCTTGGTTTTATGGACAAGCTACAAGGTCCCACTGTGAAAACAAGGATAAAATGTATTTCTGGTTTGAGAGGTCACATCACTGCCATTACACCTACTGAGCACTATGTGAAAATATTAAGAAATATCTAATATCTCTTAATGCCTTATTTTAAATACACCTTCATCAGAGTAGACAACTGCATCTGAAAATGGAGATGCTGCAGTGTTCCTTGTATGAACTGATCAATAAACACGGCAAACTGAATAATGCTTTCCCACCATTAAAATCATCTAAAGAAAATCATGCATAAAGTAACTACCTCCCACTTTCGTTTTTTCATTGTCTTGCTAAATAAATTTCTTATAGTATGCTGACAAAGATTTGTATTAGAATAAAAATTTAGTCTTTTTGTTGTTGTTTCAACAGTGGTAGGCATTCTAGAGCTGAGAATATTCATCACCTTTTGATATTCTGTTCTTAATAAATAGCAAAAACCAACTATAAAATAAATCAGAAAAACAAATATAACAAAATTAGCAGACAGGTATAAACCATGCTTCTACGCACATGCCACGCGATGTATATATGCAAACATGCTACAGAAAGCAACTTCTTACAGGGGGTAGTGACAGTTCCTTTCAAGATGGAAAGTTTGATATTCTGCTCCCCTAGATATCAGTAAATGGAAAGATGAGGAAAGTGCTGCTGCTTAATATTTCAACTTAAAAAAAAAAAAAGATAGCTTAAAAGTAACATTTGAGTGATAAACATCACTTAACGAACTAGCAAACACCATTCTGTAAATAAAGTTCAAGCATGCTGTGCACAGCACAGCTTTGTTAAACTACCCACACATTCCTACATACATATCCATTCACATACATACTCAATTTACCAAAATCCTTTAACATGTCAACAGGACATTTAACAGAGTTGTGTTTTTCTCTTTTAGAATCGTTTAAAACAAATGACTGAACAAAATTAAAAAAAAAAAAATGTAAACATTAGGAGGCCATTGGCAATTTGATTGCCGCCTAAGAGTTATCAGTCAGTTCCCTGCCTAGACACTACCATGGGTTTCACTAAGAAAATCAAACTATAAAGCAATTTTCAGAGAAAAAGAAAAAAGGCTTCTCAACCAAAAACATGTTAATTAGCAAACACTATTGATGATGAGCATAAATTCAACACTGTAGCAAAAATGACAGTTTAAATAAGCTGGGACCCACACATGAAAATCAATCATTAACGTGGTTATGTGCACATAAGAGTAAAAGAATGTTTTTCAAAAAATATATATATAGTATTAATCAAGAATTTCTTTATCATATTAAATTGTTATTCTTAGAAAAGCTGAAGTAAGTTAACAGTTCTCTGTGTTGGGTTATCAACTCCTATAATTAACTCATTTCATTTGATGGTTCCTAAATTGTATCTTTTTCTAATTTACAATTTCTTTTCATATTTGTTTGAAAAGAATTCTGACCTTAAAAATATAAAATTAGTGATTATTTTTTTTTTGCTACTCATTAATCCAAAGAATATAAGCATCTGAGTCCCAGCGAATGTCAAAATGCCTTGCTACCTAATAGGATATTAAAATAACAGAAATACCAAAGTCATGACATCAGAAGTTTTGCAGCTTTTCACACAGTCATTAGAAATGCTTATTTCCTGAAGTTCCTTTGATTGTATCCTGGATTCAAGGACGTGCAATCTTATATATAGAAGAACCATTATTACAAAGCCAATGAAAACACTGTACAACATTTTACCGAGAATGCCCACTCAGTAGGTTCTTAATGGTTCTGGTCCAGTTTACAGCAATGCTTCATTTAAAAAGGCTTTTTATCCTCTCTTGGTTGGGTTGAACAGTCTTTTTTGATGAAATGGGCTCAATAGTTCTGTCCCTCTGGTGACTTGAAAGATGCTACTTATGGTGTGGAAGAAGCGTGGTACTTCACAAATGCAATTGCCGCCAGCTCCTTGCAAAACTCTTCTAACACGATCACACCCTCGAGCAATGTGATGTGGTCAATACTGGCAAAGGAAGAGCAGATAGTACATCAGTTCAAGACACCAGCAAATCATTATGTTTTGGTGAAATTTTAAAGACTGACTTACATAGGGCCTTCAGGTTCCAAACCAAGTAATCGCTTTCTGACCAAGAGAAGTTTGGGAGTAAAGTCTTGAATACGCTGGATTCGAACCATAAGGTCTCCAACAACCTGTGTCACCAAGACAAAAGGAATTCATTTTCTGAAATCAACTACATAGGGATTTTCAGGATGAAGAGACTTCATTCTCTATTACTAAACAAATAACGTCAATTGTCACTATTCCCATAACCGTCTTTCACCAAGGACTCACACTTATTTCTTATATATCTTTTAAAAGAATGAATTTTTCTTTCTTTTTCACATTCTGTAAACTAGCCCACAATGTATAATAATTACTTTTAAACAGTAGATATAATATTTTTCATTATGTGACACTATCTAGATACAATGCTTTTAAAATGTTAACTGCACAGGTTTATCAAGCCTAGAGAATATAACAAAACTAATAACTCACCCTGACGATTACAGAGAAGAGAGATCTACAGCCAGAAGCGAGGTTCACATAAGGATCCAAAAGGTACTCGTGTATGTGTGGATGAGGGAAGAGAGAAAGTCTAGATAACACTGAGGTTACTTGTAAATTTACATCATATGGCTACGGAGAGGTTGAAAAAGAAAAAAAGACATCTGATGTTATCCATAATGTGTACATCTGTGCACTTAATTTACCATTTCAACTTGTCTTTCCAAGAAAGGAGAATCTACCATTGTATGGAAATACTTACAAATAAATTAGTTCTAACCATCCTAGCCAAAGTATATAGTCCTAAGACTTTAAAAAAAAAAGTATGCATATAAACAGAGAAAACAAATACATAACTTATACAATCAGAATTTATGTAGGTTGCTTTAATTAATGAAATCGTTCAAGAGGTCATCAAAAATGCAAGTCTAAGCTCTAAGTCTTTCTTATCACTAGATTCATAAACATAGATTTTCCCAAAGAAGAAAAACTATCCCTGAGTCAGTCATTCAAAATCTAGCCTTAAGCAAAATAAATGAAAGAAGATATGTATTCCTAGTAAAGGATAGCTTGAAGAGCATATTCTCTTTCTGGAAAATATTTGCAACAGAACAGATTCTCTAAGACTCAACTCAATAACAAATAATGAATTCATATTATATTGTATTTTAGGTACAAAAGAAATACTAAAAAAATCTAAGAAGAATGCATTTGATAGAGAATGTGGACAAAATAATTTAAAATACAATATAAATACAGAATTGCACAGGACTCTTCATTTCAGGTGGCGCAGCAGTCAAGAGCTCGGCAGCTAACCAAAAGGTTGGCAGTTCAAATTCACCAGCTGCTCCTTGGAAACCCAAAGAGGCGGTTCTCCTGTGTCCTATAGGGTCGCTGTGAGTCGGAATGCACTCAACAGCAACGGGTTTGGTTTTTGGTTTTTCTTCATTTCAGGTAGTTCAGATTTTTAGGTCACTAAATTCTGCCATTCGAAGGTGCTTAAGCAAATAAACCAACAAAATTTAGCTTAAACATGGATATATTGTCACTTAAACTTTGCATTTTCTCTACATGGCGTTACTCTGGGTTTGTGTTATTTTAACAGAAGTCTGACTTGGGTTGTTTAAGAAATTTAAGACTGACTCGGATTATTTCTCAACGTTGTAAAAACGAAAATAAGTTTCAGCAAGGTAGAAACTGTTTCACTATTCTCTGAAATGGTCTCTACTTCATACTGGTAATAACTTTAAACCAAGTGGGCCTTTTTGGGGGGCTGCCAATGGAATGTGTTCATATCTATTATATTGGATCCCTTTATTTTGTACTTTATACAGTATTCACATATTCAAGGAAATATTTCTCTGACATGTCTGGACCATTTTTTGACTGAGTTCACACTGAATATAAAGTCTGAATTTTGAACCAAACTTTGACTTAAAAGCATACTGATGTCACCAACAAACTCAGTCTCAATCCTTCTGCTAAAGGCCAAATATGCAGGTGGTCAAAATAAAATTTAAATCTTTAAAAATCCCACCAGCTTGATGTTCTGTTAGCTGCTGTTGTTAGGTGCCGTCGAATTGGTTCCAACTCACAGTGACCCTATGAACAACAGAACGAAACACTGTCTGGTCCTATGCCATCCTCACAATCATTGTTATGTTTGAGCCTGTTGTTGCAGCCACTGTGTGTCAATCCACCCTCGACGAGACATTCTCTGAAATGTCTAACAATACCTGCACTTAAACAATAATTTGTATCTTTTAAAATATTTTAAAGTGCTTATTTCATTTAATTCTTACAAGCAAATCTAGGTGGAAGGTTAGAACAAGTAATACCAAGTTCACCGTAACCATAAGAAAATGAGACAAGTGGCTAAATGACTTGCCCAAGTTCAAATTCTTCAATACCAGGGTGGGGACAAGGACTTGGGTCTCCTGACAATTTTCCTGGTTTTCTTTACATTCTGCTATGGATTTAGGATTTTACTATCTTTTTGAAATCACTACAGTTACAAGCAATACTAAATGTTTGTGTTAATAAAGTCCTTTTTAAAATTAACATTGTGATAACACAATGGTGTCATGAATCCTTGATGCCATGACTTTTCAATTACACACGCAGAAATTAGCTACTTTACTAGTTATCCACAGTAAATGCTTACTCTCAACCTGGTTACCCTGATCCTGTTAGGGATTTAAAAAAAAAAAAATGCAAGCAGACACTGTCACCAGCAAAAACATTTAGGAAAGAAACAAAATGACACGGAAGCAAACACGCTTAGCACCGGTGGACTCTGGCATTATCTCTGAGATCTGATCGTAAAATGTTCTTACCAAAAAAGGCTTGGGAAACCAGGGATTTTAAAGACAACAGGGGTGAGACCGTGCTCCATGGCTTCCTAGCTGTAAATCACATAACTGAAATTAAGGATTTCTGATTCATAAAGCAAGCACACTAGGAAGCCACCTTGCCTATTATACAGGCTTACAGGAAGAATGACTGAGACACTGCACTGTGAAATGCTGTTATCTGGTGAAGTAAAAAGAATTGTAAACATTTCGGTATATTCTGTCCTCAGTGTATACTTTTGTGACAGCACTCAATAAACTAAAGCAAAAAAAAAAAAAAAATTCTGGAGTGTGATGAAGGTTCAGAGAGAGTCTTTCAGTTCAATTCAAACACCACTTCTAAAATTTCGATCCACAAGAGATCCAAAGCACTAAAAAGTGCTTTTGGTCAGATTTCTGAAGCTCACTTACTTGATACTGATTGTGAACATCTTCTGTTTGTTAGCTTAATAATCAGATTCGAACCAAGCCTAGCAAAGCAGTACAACAAACAGAATAAACTGATGAATCCTGGCCACCTAGGAGGTTTACACAGACACAGAGTCTAGACCATAATACCTACAACGTTGTTATGTTGTGTGCCTTCAAGTCGGTTCCAACTCATACCAAAAAAACCCCAAAGTCGTTGCCCTCGAGTTGATTCCGATTCATAGCGACCCTATAGAACAGAGTAGAACTGCCTCATAGGGTTTCCAAAGCTGTAGTCTTTACGGAAGCAGACTGCCACATCTTTCTCCAGAGGAGCAGCTCGTGGGTTCCAACTGCAGAGCTTGTAGTTAGCAGCCGAGCTCTTAACCACTATACCACCAGACTCGATTCCGACTCATGGTGACCCTATATGACAGAAAACTGCCCCATAGGGTTTCCTACACTATAATCTGGTTATTGAAGACGGCCTGCTTATGAAGTACACTTCTTTTATAACTCCCATGCTTGCATAAATATTTAACTAACATGCTAAAGGAGAACAAGTACTTTAATATACAATTTAAAATTAATTCCAAATTGGTTAACTCAAACTAATCTCTATGCTGAAGCAAGTATTGTGTCAGGCCATTTTATTTCAAGTGTATATCCCAAAGTTTAAGGCATTTCAGAATTCCATCACACTGTTTTTTTGTCAATGAGAGAAGGAGGGAGGGATTCTATAATCCCAAATTCATTTCTCTGATAGTCAATGACATATCAACATATTGAATAATGGTGATTTTAACCCACCTTTGAGTAAATAAATTAACCTTTTTTATTTCACCTCCCCTTTATGAAAATGAGTGTCATTCACAAGTTTTTTGTCTGAAGAAGGTTTGTCTAATACTCTGTTCTGCAATTTTAACAAGTGTTAAAGATTTAATTTGAAATGACATGTAAGGCCTTCTGGATTGAACTTAACAAGGTCTACTGTATGTATATATGTACTAACCGTATTACCTAAAAGGCTTTCTAACTTAGTCATAACAGGAAAGCACTCCACCTCCAAAAAGTATTAAGAATATTAAGACAATGGCCTATAATAAGAAGTAAAACAATACAATTCTCTAACAGCTGTCAGGCTAAATAAATGCTTTTAATATACTGAAAGCATCAGAAACCCACCAGTTCCTGGCAATCAAGTTTTACAAAAAAAGTAACCTAGTGGAAAAACTAAGAAAACAATAAAATTATTTTACTGAAGATCTAAACTAGGATTTGAAATGAACCCATGGTGAATGGTAACAAAATAACACAAAAATTAGTATTTTAATACTTATTACCTGATCAAGAATTCTTCCCATTCTGTCAAATAGTACTTTCAAAAAATGACCTTCAAAGAAAGCTGCTTCTAAATTGCACTTTTCCAATGCTTTTGGAGACCCCGGCCATTCCCATCTTAAGCAGATAGCACAGTAGTCCCGGAACTAGGGAAAAAAGCATTTGAATCATTAGAGAACTTAAAAAAAAAAAGCAAATTGGGATTAAATAGAAATGATTTCCTCAAGTAGGCATGTACAAAGCCATTTAAATGCTGAATGTGTCCTATGTGTGAGGTGTCCTGGGAAAGGGGGAGAGAGAGATCAGATGATACCCTGGTTAGTAACTAATAGGATACCTTGATGGAAAAGGGTAGTATTTTAATTTACCAAAGTATCTCTTTAATTACGTTCTTTTAGAGGAAGTTATCCTCTTACTTATTTTCATCTCAGATTTAAAATACACTTAAAAAGCAAAATAAGTCCTATTCAAGTTTATTCTAAAGGGTTACATGTGAAATAGATGAATAAAAACCCGTTGCCATCGAGCAGATTCTGACTCATAGCTACCCTACAGGAGAGGGCAGAACTGCCCCACAGAGTTTCCAAGGAGCGCCTGATGGATCTGAACCGCCGACCTTTTGGTTAGCAGACGTAGTTCTTAACCACGACGCCACCAGGGTTTCCAAAACAGATACACAATAATTGAGAAAGCGAGCTTGACTTTCCTATAATGTATTCACACTAGGCATATTGTTGTCACAGGATAAAACAGTGCTGCTCCCGGCGTGGTCCGACCATCCGTGCTGGTCTCCAAACTCTTGTCATCCACAATGAGATGAGTACAAAAACCGAGAACAAGCATTTAGAAAATTTACAGCTATTTGACGGAGCAACTTTACATCTGTTGAATCCAATAATCAAATAACTGGAGTCTGTATTTTGTTGTCTTTTACTGTTTTCCTTTTATCAGTAATTGAGTTTCATTGTATTTTACAAAAGTACTGGTTTGTGGCAGATTGGAAATAACAAAAATTGATCCTTCACTACAGTCAGTTTACCATTGGGCTACACAACATGCATTTTTATAAGCAAAAGAATATCTCATAAAATAAAATGAATTTTAAAAGTCTTTTCAAATATGTAATTTACTTAAATGTAAACAGAAACTCAGAGCACAGTTTCCTTCCATATTCTTTCTCTCTTCAAATTCGTCTTATAAAATAAAGCAAAATGACTCTGACCTCTCTAATTTGGAAATTACAAGAAATTAAAGCAGAACATATTCTCACCATGAAGCACTAACCTCAACTTTTAAAAGAAAAATATACCTAAAAAAATTAAAAGCCGATTTCTTCAATATATTGTAAGTTTTTTTAGACTATTTGGCTTTCAATAGATAATTTTCTGTATAAAGCCATTGCCCTATCTTTTAATAAAGCATTTTTACATTAACACCTTTGAAGTCCTGACTTAGAAAAGTCATAGTTTCAAAATGCTTTATCCTTTTTGTCTATTTTATAATTTTGCTAAAACAAATCATTGCATTTGTAATCAGAAACTAGAAATGAGAGAAACTTTACAGAATGAAGAAACGCAGTTTAAAAATTAAATCAGTACTGAGAGGCATTTTTAACTTTTACTGCCTTTACGTTATTGCTGTGTGAAAGTTACTTACTACCCTATTACTCTAGTTATTCAGGCAGTAATGTGGACTTCAATTCACGTTTAAAGTATTATGAATTAACTATAGATACAAGCAAATTAATTACACATATTAGTATACCTCAATCCAAAGGATTTAAATGCAAAATAACTGCATTTTTCTGATTTGAGACAGAAAGAAGATTAGTGATTGCCAGGGGCTGGGGATGAAGGGCGAGTACAGAGTGATAGCTTAGTGAACACGGGGTTCCTTTCTGGAGTGATGAAAATGTTCTGGAATTAGTGGTGATGGCTGTACAACATTCTGAATATACTAAAACTCACCAAATTGTAAACTTTGAAATAGTTAAAATCATCAATTTTTATGTCAATACAATTAAAAAAAAAAAAAAAAAAAACAGGTGGTGGTTTACAGTGTAAAATGCTGTCAAGAGGAAAGAGGACTGAGAAAAGGCCGTTTCATGCAACAGCTGAGAGGGGACCTTCGAGACAGCAGTTTCCACCAGAGAGAAAGCCAGAATGCAGGGGGTGAAGGAGTGAATGTGAGCAGGCAGGAGAGAGCACGTGTACATTCATACGTTACTCTTTGGATAAGAATGGTGGAAGGATAATAGCCTGAGAAGTGCCAGCAAGAGAACTGGGTAGAATTATTGAGAAATCATGTTTTAGATCAGTCAGGGAAGGGGTCCAGGGGAGATATAATTAAAAATGCAAAACAAAGAAAGAGAGCATAAAGAAATCTTGAGATAGACATGTACAGTTAGTGAATTAGAGTAAGGTCACCTGCAGAGAAATAGTAGTGGGAGTGGAATTCAGGTCTTAAAGAGAATGAGACAAGTTTGGAGAAATGACTACAGAAAATGGGAGAAGGTAGGAAGGTGCGTACGCATTCTTATTAAATTTAATTTAAAAAAATTAGTTACTTCACTCACCTGCCTATGAGCGTCTCGGAGGTAGGTGTCATACCCAGTGCCCTCAACATGGTAGGATGACTTTGCTTCATCTGGTACCAGACAGAGAAAACTGAAATGACAAAAAATCCACACTGAGTAACACAAGGAATACTGTCACAATTCAATCATATTTTTATATTAAAGTATCTAGTGATATCTTAAGTTTAGCCAAGTATTAAAGCAAATGAAACTTGAAAAATAATAAAACTGTATGTTATTAAGTACCTATCCTGAATCAGTATTATAATTCACTGAGTAAAAACTCTTTCATTATTTTAAAGGTTCTATTATAAATTACTCATTCCACTTAAAGTGGGAGTAAGCCTAAGTAAGATTTTTTTCCTCTTTATATTACTGTAAAATGACAGATTGCCATATTCGTTAATCTCAGGAAACCGGCTTTTAAGTAATTAAACCTCAGATTTTTATGCAGCCTAATTATCCATCTTGAGTCACATGCAATCTTCTTTAACGTCACCTGCCAGAACCAGGCATATCAGTGACAGCTTTGCATGGGAAGAAAGAGAGAGAAGAAAATTACCACAGAAGGTACACTTAAAAAAAATTTCACAACACAAAATGAACAAAAAGACGTAGCCTCAAGCTTAGCATACTTGAGTACGTGTTTAGTAAGTACAATTTGTCAAATTAGCAATTCTCAATGTTGTTTCAATTGGGAAGTACTTATAATTAAGTTGTTTATATATATTTTTTTCAAGCAGGGTACTCTGAGGGTCTATTTCACCACTGCTATTTTTTCTTTTTCTATACTAAGTAGAATTTTTCTCTTTGGTATCAATTGTTGCCCCAGGCTGTCACTTGCTACATAAGCATGACAGGAAGCTGACATAATCTGTGACAATCTAAAGGCAGAGCTATTTGGTATTACATAAATAAGTAAAAGATGAAAGTCATATTTATATACCAACTCACCTATTGACAGTTTTATGGACTTCAGTTTTCCCATCAGTTTTGGGGTGGTCTGGAGTAGTAGGAGGTGAAGAACTAAGCCACTCTTGGTTTGACAAAGTGTTATCTGGTGCAATGTCAGTAAACAATGGATCTTCTTCCAGATCTCTAAGTTTAAATTAACGATGTATAAAAAAAAAAATCCATTTTATCATGACATTTTCTAAACCAAAAGCATCTCTGCTATGTTCTTAGAAAGCATTACATCATTTTGCTAATATAAACAAAAAAAAATTAAAGAATTTATATTTATGGTCTACTGACAAAATTAATATTTCATACTAAAGCTGAACATGAACATACGTATATACCAATTTTGTTGGGTTTAATGAATAGACAGTATCATTTTTAATTTAAAAAGATGGTAGTATCAGGGCATGTAAATTTTATTTTTAAAAAACTTTTAAACTGTTAGAGATTTGTCTGTTTTAAGAATGGGGGAGAGACGTAAGAGGAGAGAATGTTACGATGCTATACGAGATGCTCAGCTCTCAGAGTTGGGTAAGCTTACACTGCTCCTGCTATCAGTCCATTCTCCACCACATCTTTATCTTCCAGGCACAAAGGTTTATATTCTGTGTAATTTCTTTCTTCAAGATTTCTTAAGACCAAATTGTAAAGAATGTGCTCATTGGGTTTTTGTAAAAGATGTTCAAACATTCTTAACGTCATTATGCTTATCTGAAACAAAACAAAAAAAATAAAAGCTAACCAAAAAATATCTTTGAACAAGTTAATCTTCCCATTCTATATCATGGTTTTGATTTATAAAGCCACGTAAAAAAAAGAAAAGGCTGTATTTAAACATCACAAGTATGTTAATAAGTTCAATTCTAAATCATTACATAGCTTACCTCATCAGATATGTGATCACAGTGTTCAATTAACCTATGTCTTAAAGGATGTCTACTAATTCCTGACAGAGTTTCCGGTTCCCTCTGTTCTCCAAGGATAAAAAACACCATTTCTTGAAGCAAAACATCAGAGGTGACTTGCCGGACGATGCGATGAAGCAGAGCGGTTGATGTCAGAATACCCATCTCAGAACTGAGCACAACAAACAGGTACTTAGTGTGCAAAAATAACACAAACACAGTAATTTTTTTTTTTAAAGAAAAAGGCCACTCACGTTTGCATTAACTGGGGCTCCATGACACCAATGAAAAACCTTTCATGAACAGCTCTGGCCAGAGCAACAGCTGCAGTCTAGAATACAGGATGGACATCATTACCTTGTGTTTTTTTTAAATGGAAAAAAAGAGATTAATTTGTGATATTAATACATCAGTTTGTACTCCCCATCTGAATTAATGTGGAAAAGCAGAATTTCCCTCTTGACCATCTAGCTGATGGCACACAAACCTAGATTAGCTACTAGGCCCTTCACATTTTATCTAAATTTCCAGGAATAAGAGGAACAGCATAAAAACTATTATCCTCATCATCTTAGAGTATTAACACCTCCTCAGAGATGAGAAACAGAGGGAGACCAAATACCCTGTGAAGTGCTGTACCATATACTTAAAGAAATATGAACGGACGACTTGAACTGTGACTTGCTCTGGAGTTATCACACTCACACACTCACACACTCACACTCACACTCACACACACACACACACACACACACACACACACACACACACACACACTGTTTGGTTTGCTTATTTGCTAGTCTATTTTACTAACTGTGCTATCCTCACTAGGATGTTTAAGATGCATTCAGGGATATAATGAAAGATTCAAATTTTACTTAGCAGGTATTTTAAAATTATCAATAAGCAACAACAAAAATATTCAAACCTTTTGTGCTTCCTTAATGAGCTGATCACAATAATCAAACCAGGAAAGAAATGAAATTAAGGCTCGTTTTCCTGGAAACGCTGACGCATCTTCTTTATGACTATAGGAGTCCAAGCTGTAGGACGCAGAAGAAATGCGAAGTCCAAAGTTATCCAAAAACGTTAACCCCACTCGGTTCATACAAAACAATGAAGACGCGTGAATGAACTCGTGTAGCAGGAGCAGGATATATTCACACAGGCAATGCTGGGTGACAAACAAAGGACGGCTGAAAGCCAAAGATGACAGGAAACTTTGCAAATAAAAGTTGTGAATAATTTTCACTCATTAAGCAGGGAAGAAAGAAACTACAGCAGAATGGGACTGCAGAAGAAAAATAAACCATTTAGACAACTCCTTATATTCCCATTATAAATTATCAAGTAACTGCAACTAAAAGGACGAGATGTGCTCAGAAAAGGAAGGTGAAGAAGGAGTGCAAACAAGAAACGACTGAATGGTATGCTTCTCGTCCTGCCTTAAAATGCGACACGGTGGAAATGTTAACAGTTGGGTCTGCCCTACAGATACTGACAGAACACAGGGCAGAAAGACAAGTAAAAAACACTAGGAAAAGCACCAAAAGTTATGTGGCAAAATATTAGACTGTATATAGGGGGCAGGACAATGGGTAATCTTATTTATGCTGCTTTATACTTTTTAATAAATTGTGAATAATCTGCAATAATCATGTCTTCCTAGGAGAGTCAGGGAGGAGGGGGACCCTAAAAGGTAGGTAGAAAAGATGAAAGAATGAAATAGAAGGAAAGATTCCATAAAAACAGGACACAAAACATGTGACTGCCCTTGGGGCTGAGGGAATTATTTATAAAAAAGGAGAGTCTTTCTTTTGGGGCGTTTTGTTTTTAATAAAAATAATCCAGGTAAAGTTATCAGTATCAATGTGTCAGCCCTTAAAAACTGATCACTATAATGGATAAAATGAAAAGCAGCTTAACTACGTAACAGCTGGATCGCTTCCACATCAGTTTCTTACTACGGACAGAAAACAAATTTAACATAAGCCTCAACAAAATAATCCCATTTAATCATCATTAGTAATGTTACATTGTTCAGAACTAAAGATTTCTACCACTGCAAAATAGAAAGATTTCAGAAATTTAGGTGCAAAAAGTCACCTTTATGGAAAAACGCAAATAATGGTTCTTACCCCCAGTTAATTGCTTCCACTGTTTCAATATCTAACGGATCCACGGACTGAGGTAGGGCCCTGTACAGGGAAGCCAGCCTGTCTGTCAGCAGTTCACACAAGCAAGTGCTCTGTGTGAGGCACTTTGCAGCCGCAGGCTCCGGCAAACTCACTAACAACATCAAACCCTCACAGGCTTTCACAGCTATCCGGCCATCCTGAGGAAAAGAGACACATACCACTTTATTTCTTGAATTAGATATATATCAAGTTGCTTGGGAAAATTCAATGTATAAGGACTTAACGTTTTACACTGAAAGAAGAATATATATACGTATTTTACATGTTTATTACTGTGGCCGTATTAGGGAAAAAAGGGTAAAGAAGAAAACTCACAGGACTTCTAGTAAGATTTAACAAGGAATTCACTAAGTTGTAGTCCTGGTTTGGACGAACCACTGAGGCCTCTGGCAGTGAAGTAACGTTGAGATTATCCAAGCTGGTGGACAGATCGTCCATCTGATGAGAAGGCTCATCTTCTAACTCTGTTTTTTCCATTCCTGTAGCACCAGATAGTTCCTCCCGCTGACTGGACTGTCCTGTATCTGTTGACAAGGCACCCTGATCTTTTAACGAGTCCTCTGAAGTTATATCTGATGTTCCTTTAGAAGCCAAAGACTTTAGCTTATTCTGAAAAGGAGTACATGTTCTGTAAGATTCACACCAATAGCCTATTAACCAGAAATCATATTTTTAATGTAGTTTTCTATCGTCAACATTCAACATGTCTAACCAATGAAGCGGTAAATAGTAAGTACTGTGACGAACGAAAATTATTGCATGGGGAAGAGAATGAACTTTGGGAAGAAAAATCTCTTCTTAGCCCAAAGGAGGTACTTCTTATAAATACGTATCAAAAACTAGAAGAACTATAATACTCCCCCTCATTAATAAATCTTTAGAAATCTGAAATCTTAAGATTATACTAGCCCCGTTGAAGCGAACTTTCAAAGTATGATGTAAGTGATGAAAAACAGGCATTCATAATCCTTACCACTCCCTCAACATTTAAATCCAGGTGTATCTGGCAACTTAGCTGCTCACTTACCTCCTGTAAAGGCAGATAAACCAAAAACCAAATAACCCGCTGCTGTCGAGTTGATTCTGACTCATAGTGACCCTACAGGACAGAGTAGAACTGTCCCATAGAGTTTCCAAGGAGCAGGTGGTGGATTCAAACTGCCGACCTTGTGGTTAGCAGCCAAGCTTTTAACCACTATACCACCAGAGCTCCAGGGCAGGATAGGATCCTGAATGACTTATTCATCAATGTGAAATAGAAAATGAACCCACACACTTATTAGAAGGGTTAAAATTAAAATAAAAACAAAAACCTGACAGTATCTATTGCTGACAAGGACATAGAACAACAGGGAATGCTCATCCATTGCTGAAGGGACACACAAGGATGAAGCCACTGGAAAACAGTTTGGCAGTTCCTTATAAAGTTAAATATACAATCCCACTCCTAGGTATTTACCTAAGTGAAATGAAACCTAAACTCATACAAAAACCTGAATGTGAATGCTTATAGTGGCTTTATTCATAATTGCCCAAAACTAGAAATAAACCCAAAGTCCCTCAGCTGATGAATGAGTAAGTAACAAACAGGAAGACACTTACAGATGAATCTCAATGCATTATGCTAAGTAAAAAAAGGCCAGACACAAAGGTTGATCACATTTCTATGACTTTCTGAAAAAGGCAAAACTATTACGACAGAAAACAGATCAATGATTGCCAGGGGCTGGGGATGGAGATGCAATAGCTACAAAGGGGTATGGGAATTTTTTTTAGGGTGATGGAACTATTGTATGTCTTAATTGTGGTGGTGGTTACATGACTGCATATGCTTGTCAAAATTCACAGAATGTAGACCAAAAGGAGAGTCCTTGGGTAGTGCAAATGGTTCAGTACCTGGCTACTAAATGAAAGGCTGGCCGTTTGAATCCACCCAGGGGTGCCTCAGAAGAAAGGCCTGGTACTCTACTTCTGAAACATTACAGCCATTAAAAACCTTATGGAACACAGTTCTAATCTGACACACATGGGGTCGCCATGAGTCGGAATCGACTCGATGGCAACTGGTTTACTGGGAGACCAAAAAGAGTGAACTATACTGTATATAACATACCTCAATCTTAAAAAAAAAAAAAAGATATTAAAAAAAAAAACCAAAACCAAGAACCCAAATTTTTTTCTAATATATTTCTAAATGAGTGCACTGCTGAAAAAAGAAGTGGAGGAAAGCAGGAAGTAAAATCCAAAACATCAATTCATTCAAGTAAACTATGGTTCAGTGACTATGGCTATAAAGACAGTACAAAATAGCAGAGGGATCCCAACTGTTACACCAAGCTACAGAGGTAACGAGTCACTTCTTACACCTTGTCCAAATCTATGCATACCTTCCTTACCCCAGGCCAGATTACTCACACTACACATTACAGGAAGCTTGGCTGAAGATATGATACAAACTTATGTGACTTCTCTACCCGATTCACCCTCAGGCTGTACTCTTTCCAACACTCGGCTTCACGTTTGCCCAGGACCTAAACTAGCCCAGTTGTGAAACTACTATACTGCACCAAAAAGCCCATGTATCTGGCTCAACTGCATTCTTTGAAGATCTTTTGTGTCAAGAGATTTCAAGTTAAAATAGTGATTTTAAATAAAAAATAATCCTGGGAAGTAAATCAATCAATCTGATACCCAAAATGTAATTCCTTCTAACATTATTCACAGAATTCAGTTCTAATTTTAACATAAGCATACTTACAAGGTTGACAAGAAATGTACCATACCTCGAGAAAAAAATTAACCAAGTAGGGATCTTGTTTCAGTTTTGCACACACAATACAAAGAAACTGAATTTCTTCATTTTCTGTCGGAGTTGCAAGAACTTCACCACAAAGTCGAATTAATTTCTGTCAAAAAACATTAAATTAAAAAAAAAAAGCTTAGGTTACTTTTACAAGCATGCAAATAGCCATCCATTTAGCTCAAGGATATTTAAAATTTCAAATATGCTTGCATTACCCAAAAAAATTAATGAGACATATAATAAACTCTCTGGAGATATTATGGAGGTAAATTTTAAAAAACCTTAATGCATAAAATTTTAAAAGAGAACTATAAATACACGAAGTGTACTTAATACAATGTCATTAATAAAGAAAAGTGCAAGTATTTGCTAATCTGCACATTATTTTTAGAATAATTTCCTTTATTATTATTACTCTCAGAAAAAAATCATATAAGATTATTTCTGTACAAAAAGAAACCAAACCAAATAATTTATGAAGTATTTATATAATAATAACACACCTGCACAGGTCTATGCACATTAATGTGTGGAAGCAGTGGCTGCCGGATTCTTCCCAGAAGTTTAGTGTAGAATACCAAAACCTGCTGTTTCATTCCTGGAGGACACTGGGTAGAGGGAAAAAGGAAAGCAAGAACAGACAATACGAACACACTTATTAAAAAACTAGGAGAGACAATGTGTATGAATATATTCTACTTTCTAAAGGAAAAATGCAATCAACCAATTAATGGCTGTCAGAAAAAAATTTTCAATAAATACTAATGACTGGTGTTCTAGAAATAAAATTATACATCTGAGACTATAATATAGCCGATGTAATTATGAACAGCATGGTGATGATACATCATTGAGATTTAGAGTTTGGTTCAGGCAGGGTCAGCCTGTGTATATTCTAATGCTGGGCTAACCTGAAAATATTATTGTTGACTCCCTGGCCAGAGCAAAGGCAGACCTTGTCACTTACACGTGACAGGTAATCAATAACTTTCCATCATATAAAGCCTTCTAACACATATATGTAAATAAAAGGAATCTTATGATATAAACTGCTCTGTGATTTATTCTGACAACTTCTACATTAGTTGCAAAGTTATTTATATTATGACAGCTACAGTCAATGAACATTTAATACAAAGGTTTTTATAACATCCCAGTTGTTTAAATATTTGCTGAAAAGCAGGTAAAATGGATAATTACTCATATTGTGGATAAGAGGGTACAAATTAACAAGGTTATATATTCTACAATTAAGCAGTTTATGAGTATTTCCAAAGCATTATTGTATACATGCTATCTGGAAACAGCATAAACTATCATCTTAAGCACAATAATATTTTTTAAGATAGCAAATACCTTGCATTATTCACATAGGAACACCAACAATGTTTACCATCACCATTACCAAAATAAATGTACTAGTAGAACAGGTTCCTAAATTTGTTCAGAAATCAATTAATATTAAAGCAATCTAGTGTTGTAGAATCCCTTCCTCCAAAGGACAGGGAAGAGAAAGGAGGATAGGAATAAACTGCAGAGTGTTAGGGAGCAGACGTGTTGCCCAGAAAATATAAAGTGAATAAATAAATTAAAACTGAATAAGCATAAAAACAACAAAAATAAATAAATACTACAGACTTAAAAAGAAACTGTCTCTAATGCTACTAATCGTTAACTCTATTTTGTGTTTAAATGTGTCTAGTACTTAATTTTTTTAGTTTGGTTTTCACATGTTATAAAAATTCACAGAATAGGACAGATTTTTAGAGCTGGGAGGAGGCTCCTTGACAAGGTCAGGACTGACGCCAGGCCTCCCAACCTGAACCCAAGGCTCTTTACCTTCTCTCCCAGCACCATGTGGTTGGAAAACTTGTCTTTATAAGCAACTTGAAAGTTTTGCTCCACAATATATTATTTATACTAACATATCGGCTTTGCAATGATTTTTCAAGATTCACTAGGCCTAAAAATTGGAATTGGTCCACTCATCAGTGAAGTTAATGTCCCAATCATCAATGACATTCTCTTTCAAAATTATGAAAAATAATTCCTATTTTTATAATCCATTTTCACTGGGTTCTTTCTCATATCCTTTGTTTTTTTTTGAAGACTTTATTGTGCTTTGGGTGAAAGTTTACATAGTAAATTAGTTTCCCATTCAATAATTCATACACAGATTGTTCTGTGACATTGGCTGCAATCCCCGCAATGTGTCAGCACTTTCCCCATTTCTACCCTGGGGTCCCTGTTTCCATTTGTCTGGTTTCCCTGCCCCTTCCTGCCTTCTCAGCTTTCCTTTTGGGCAAATGTTGCCCTTTTGGTCTCATTTAGTTGATTGTTATAAGGAGCGCATTCCTCACGGGTGTTATTGTTTATTTTATACAGCTGTCTACTATTCGCCTGTAAGGTGATCTCCAGGAGTGGCTTCAGTTCCAAGTTAGAAGGGTGTTTTAGAGTTACAGTCTTGGTGGTTCCTCTGGTCTCTATCAGACCAGTAGGTCTGGTCTTCTTTATTAATTTGAATTTTGTTCTACATTTTCCCCTACTCTAACTGGGAACTTCTATTGTGTTCCTGGTCAGTGTGGCCAGCAGTGATAGCTGGGCACTATCTAGTTCTTCTGGTCTCAGGCTTGTGGAGGCTGTGGTTCATGTGGGCCATGAGTCCTCTGGACTAATTGCTTACTTGAGTCTTCGGTTTTCTTCATTCTCTGCTGCCCCAAACAGGAAGAGACCAATCTCAGATGGCCGCCTGCATGCTTTTAAGACCTTAGAGGCGACTCACCAAACTAGGATGTAGAGCAGTATCATCAGGAACTATGTTATGCCAATTGACCCAGGTGTCCCCCAAGACTATGGTCCTCAGCCCTCAATCCCCGTATCTGTCCTGCGAGGTGTCGGTTATGTCTAAGTCTCATATTCTTTGATTCTGAGCACATGTATGTGAGTTTATTTTCACAAATGTTTACACTGTAATTTGAGGCAGCCTAAGTACCAACTGCTGTCTACAGCATTTGCTATCTCTGTGGATGCCACATTCATAGAGGCTACAATTTTCCTTTTTTTATAGTACTAACTTGAATCTTGCCACGCTTAATATATACCTCTGTAATTAAATTTGGTACCTGGCAGAGTCTTTATTTCTAAAACATTAACGCACGTGTTACAGGCCCAAGAACATGATGTGGATAAGGAACTTACATCAGCTTTCCCTAAGGTATATAATGTTTCCAAGATCTTGTGATGAAGCAAATATTCCATACATGGCCCCGTCTCTCCAGATTCCCGTTCATTTTCTTCTTGTACCAATATATCTAACATCTGCTCCAGATGAGATGGAATGTTTGTATCTGTCACTGGGGCTTTATCATCTAAACAATAAAAAATATTCATGAAATAAACATTTTTTTAACTATGCATTTACACCTGAAATATTCTTTATTTCCCTATTCCTATTTGAACTGAGAAAAAAATGAACTATACACTTAAGTGAGGTTTATACACAAGATATAATTATCTTTGCTAGAAATTAAGCAATGCTTTTTGCCATGCTCTTATTCAGAAACTGAGTCAATATACTGAAATATGGTCTATACGTTAATATTCATCCATAGTAACTCAGAAATAAGGCCCATTTACATGGGAAGTGGGAACATGATCAGGAAAAATACATGGAACATCAGAATTTTGCATGTACTTGTTAATCTCACACAAATTTTTTTTTTTCCATTAGCCAGTTAAGACGATTTGAATTTTAAGTGGTGTAGTAGCTAGGATTCGGCACTTTCACCTGGGTTCGGTTCCTGGTCAGGGAAAACTTTGGAGCCCTGGTGGTGCAGTGGTTAGGAGCTCAGCTACTAACCAGAAGGTCAGCAGTTTGAATCCACCAGCTGCTCCTTGGAAACTTTGTGGGGCAGTTCTACTCTGACCTATAGGGTCGCTATGAGTCAGAATCGACTCGACAGCAATGGGTTTTATATAGAAACATGTTGGCCTTGAACATTAAGCTGAACAACCCAGGATATATGGAGAGTTGTTGTTGTTAGCTGCTGTTGAGTAGGCTCCAACTCACAGTGACACTATGTACAACAGAACGAAACACTGCCCGGTCCTACACCATCCTCACAGTTGTTGCTATGTTTGAGCCCATTACTGCAGCCACTGTGTCAATCTATCTCATTGAGGGTCTTCCTCTTTTTCGCTGACCCTCTACTTTACCAAGCATGATGTCCCTCTCCACGGACTGGTCCCTCCTGATAACATGTCCAAAGTAAATGAGAGGAAGTCTCGCCGTCTTCTAAGGATAATTCTGGCTGTACTTCTTCCAAGACAGATTTGTTCATTCTTCTGGCTGTCGTATATTCAATATTCTTACCAACACCATAATTCAAAGACATCAATTCTTCTTCAGTCTTCCTTATTCACCGTCCAGCTTTTGCACACATTATGAGGTAACCGGCTTGGGCCAGGTGCACCTTAGTGCTCAAAGTGACATCTTTGCTTTCTAACACTCTAAAGAGGTCTTCTGCAATAGATTTGCCAATGCGATATGTCATTTGATTTCTCGACTGCTGCGTCCACGGGCGTTGACTGTGGATCCAAGTAAAATGAAACCCTTGACAACTTCTATGTTTTCTCCATTTATCATGATGTTGCTTACTGATCCAGTTGTGAAAATTTTTGTTTTTTCTGTTTTCTTTATGCTGAGGTGTACCAGATGCCCCTAATAACCAAAAAACCAAACCTGCTGCCATTGAGTTGCTTCTGACCCATAGTGACCCTGCAGGACAGAGCAGAACTGCCCCACAGGGTTTCCAAGGAGTGGCGGTGAAATCCAACGGCCGACCTTTTGGTTAGCAGCCTGAGCTCTTAACTGCTTTGACACGAGGAGGACTCCAGATAGATTGCATAAAATACTTTAAGGCAAGAATGTATGCATTTCCTTAAAACCATGAAAGCAGGGGGAACTCACAAACACTAAGAATAGTCATTTGAAAAGGCAGCAGTTCTCAAAAGACAAGTCTATTGATCTTTGGCTAAACATCCAAATTAAGTTAGAAATTGTATTTTACATTTAAAGGTATTTTATTTTTGTCTGATTTTTACTTATTGCACAAACATAATAGATTTTTCTTTAAGAAAAAAATCACCCATGACCCCATCAGATTGTCAAATCAACTCTTCTCATTTGTTTATGTTCCCTTCCAGGTAAATGATGTGTGTCCAATCACTCTGCATACCCTCTAGTGTTTACCTATATATTCCTCAAGGGAGCCTGTAGTGCTACTTAGCAATGCTAGTATTCTCTACTTAGACCTGTGGACCAGGTCCAGGCCCGCCACTTGTTTCTGTAAATAACGCTGTATTGGAACAATGGAACGCTCATTCTTCTCCGTACTGTCTATGGCTGCTTTGGCATGACAACAGCACAGCTGAGTAGTTACAACAGGGACTATTTGGCCCTTTACAGAAGTCAGCCAATCCCTGCCCTAATTTATTCACATTCCCCCATATTCACTCTCCATCCTTCCTATTCCCTGAGAAAAAAAGAAGCAACCAGAAGATAATTTCAACAGACGCCCTCCACATTTACCCTCTTTCTGCACTTATACCCACAGGTTCTATTTTCCATTATTAATTTTTATGGATGAACTGTCCACATGCCAATTTAAGGCCAAGGCTTCCCCTGTTCACTAGAGACCATCCTCCTTGCCTACTTAAGGATATTGCTCCAAAATTGTCTCTTTTCAGACTTGTATCCCTTTCTCGCTCTACTAAATCACTCCCCTCCAACTATAAACTGCAGTATCTTCCATCTTTAAAAAATACTAAAAACCTCTCTTGTAGCCTCATCTCCCTCTGGCTGCTGCCCCATTTTTCAGCTCTGCTTTACACTAACATTCCTCAGAAGAGCAGTTTACACACATTGTCTATACATGTCCCGCCCCCGATCTTCTCTTAAACCCACTGCAATCAGGCTTTCACCCTCCTTCTGCCATTGAAGGGGCTCCTATCTAATGAGCTCCTTGTGAATAAATCCAATGATCCATTCTTAGTCTTCATTAACTAGACACCAGCATCACTGTACACAGTTAGTCCCTCTCTCCTCTTTGGCTTTTAGGACACCATTCTCTCTTGGCTCTTCTTCTGCCTCACTGGCAAAAGCAGCTTCCTCTGACAGCCTTCTCACCTTCCCAGCCTCTACACACAGTGCCCAAGGGCTCAGTTCCATCCATCTTCTCTTTTCCATCTATCCTCACTCCCTTGATAATCTCATCCAGTCTCATGGTTTTAAATACTACTTATATGCTGATAACTCTCAATTTCAGATCTCTAGTTTAGACCTCCTCCTTGAATTATAGATTTCTATCTCCAACTGTCTACTTGGCATATTGAATTAGATAATGTGCAGCTCAAACTCAACACATCTAAAATTCCCTTGCAAACCTGCTCCTCCTGCAGTCTCCCCATTCTCTGTTTTTCTAACTGCTTAAGCCCAAAACTCTGGAGCTATCCTTTCACTCTTATTCTCTCATACCCAATATTCAATCCATCAACAAATCTTCCTTCAAAATATACCCAGAAAACAACCACTTCTCACTACCTCCACCTGGTCTAAGCCACCACCATTTCTTGCTTAGACCGTTGCAATAGCTCCCTAACTGTTCTACCAGCTACCATCCCTGTATCCCTTATTTTTCACAGAGCCAAAGTAACCCTTTAAAATATATTGTGTTACATCTCTGCTCCAAACCCTCCAGTGGCTTCCCGAGTAAAAGCCAAAGCCCTTGGCTTACACAGCCTTATGTGAATTACTCCGTGTGAATCTGCCCCTTCCTCCTCCCAGTCAGCTGTCTGACTTCATCTTCTACCACGTTTTGCCTCGTTCACTTTGCTCTGGCCACACTGGTTTACCTGTAGTACCTGGAATACTCCAAGCATGCTGCATGCTCCTGCCTCGGGGTCTGTGCACTTAGTCCTCTTCCTGGAACGATCCTCCCCCAGATATCCACTAGGCTTGCTTCCTTTCTCCTTCAGCAGTCAGCTCAGACATCACCTTGTGCAATGAGGCTTTCTCTAACCTAAAATAGCCAACTGCCCTCCCTCCTCAAACACACACTTCTTAGGGCTTCATCTTCTCCTTAACACTTACCATCTGACACACTATATGTATTTGTCTATTTATTGTTTGCCTCTACCAATCAATATATAAGCTCTATTAGGACAAGGATTTTGTCTGTTTGATTGACTGTTCTATCACTCAGTGCCTAGCAAAATGCTTGACACACAGTAGGTGTTCAACAGATATATATTTTTTATGAATGAATAAATAAATCTCTAAGATGAATTAAAGGTAAAATAGTTTATAAATTTAAATATAAAATAACTTTGAAAACTTATTTAAAATATATTTTAATGTGATATCACTAAATTGTACACCTGAAAAATGTTTAATTGGCAAATATTGTATTATAGATACTTTTACAACTTTACTTAAGTATCCAAATGTTCTATTCAATTAATATTAGCATTGTTTCTTACCTGAAGTCTCTATGTAGTAATGTGTAATTGCCTTCCAGTGATAAACAAAATCTTCTTGTAAAGGAAGAGAAGGTGCAAGCTGCACAAACCCAGACACAAAAAGACACAACAATGAAGAAAATGGCATTAAAAGGCTTCTATAAAGTATAACTCTATGCTTGTCTATTAGGAGGTAAAAGGAACACAAACTATAAGAGGTGAACTTTAATTGGATTCTCTATGCCAGATATCAAAGAGAAACTAAGTGAGTAGAATCCAAGAAAGTAACAGTGATTTATTAAGAAAGATGAAAAACATTTATCAACATAATTACACCATGATTTTGGGCCTTTTCTCTTCCCCTGAACCTAGTAACTACCTATGGCTTCTATTCCTGAGGTATCAGTGAAATGAAATGATCAATAACCAGGGATCTTTGTACCTGGGACTTTGACAGGCGAGACAGTAAACAGCTGCTATGTCATCAGTTACACATCATCACTACTACTACATGTAGCAAAGTCAACTTCCTAATCAGATGAAAACTGTTCCCCACTTTCAGTGACGTATGGATATACATCCTTTCTCTTAAAGTCTGGATTAGGTAGCACATATTTGTAGCAAAATAACTAATTCCACAAAGTAAAAAGTTTTACATTTTAGCTTTGAAATTTACTTCAGAAATGTTAAGACCAAAATTATATCCCTTCAGCCATCTCATAGCAAGCCTATAAGTGTTTCAAATGTGTGTTAAATGGATAGAAGAAGACTTGGATGCACCTTCTACAACATTTCCTTTTCCTTAAAAAGAGTGTGAGAGAGCGAGAGCTACACCAGTCCTAGTATCGTCAATAAATTTTAGTTGAAAGTACAGAGCTGACTGAGCTCAGTTAAAACCAACAGGTGTGTATTCTGGGAACCTAAGAGATGTCAGTGTAATCTTTCATTTTGATATGCTTTATCTAACCAGATGATCTAAAATAGGTCACCTTCCTCCCATACTTCTACATGTTCCACTGATACTTCTCGGTGATCACAGCGGGGACCTCAAAGTTGACAACTCTGTCAGAGCAATTTTCAGACTATTGAGCAAATTACAAATATTGGTCACAGACAACTAACGTGTTTCAATCCGGAAGAGGAAATGTACTTACCTAAAAAAGGGACCAGAAAATTGTTCAGCAATCATCAACATCTTAATGCTAAACTAAGTCTTCCTAGACTTGCCTATTCGCACCCCTAATAATAGTACTAGACTAAAAGAATACTAGTATTCCTCATTTACAAGTAGAATGCTGTGAAATCTCAAAAACAAGGGACTTTAAGATCTTTAAGAAAGGAGTTAAAACCTCTGAGAGTACTGTACTTCAAAGAGAACATGAAGAGAGAAATTACATGTGGGAGAGTTGAGAAAAAAATTAGGAAGAAAAATAAGAATGCAAGTATTAACTTGGGAAAAAAGAGTAATCTTCCTGAAAATTTTAGATTAAAAAATCTGCCTGTTTTAACCCATCACTTGTTTTTAGAATTCTCTTCACAGTATGTACATTTTCCGGACCTCATTTTTATATAGACTAGCTTTATATGGAGTCGCTGCATTGGGAAAACAGTGTGCTTGGCTGCTAACTGAAAGGTTGAAGGTTCAAACCCACCCAGAGGCACCTCGGAAAAGGCCAGACAATCTACCTCTGAAAAATCACCTGTTGAAAACCCTACAGATCACAGTTCTATTCTGACACACATGGGGTCATCATGAGTTGGAATCAACTCCATTGCAACTGATTACTGTTAGCTTTATATAGTTAAATGTATTAACAACTGGGTCACATGAAATTTTGTTGTTTTGAGAAATATATCTAGTTTCCTAAGTGTAAATGTTGTGATCTGTTATGTTTTCCTGAGGGCATCTCCTGGGTATATAAAGAATTACAACCTTGTTCCAGATTATTTCACCAATGGGACTCGACTCTAGTTCAAGGGTAAGTCGGTAGCCCAGAGGTCTCACAGGATTTATGTTAGGACTTTTGCTGCTGGTTACAGTCAAGTTCAAAGCAGGATGGTGTTATTTGGTTTGTAAACGTTTCTCTCCCAGGAGTTATATTTAAATAAGAAATCTATTTAAGTAGACCGTTAAACAGTTCTAATTGCTAATAACTTGGTTAGTTAACAATCTTGTTCAACATGAATAATTTCCTTATTTATGTGAAACTTCCTAGTAAACCTGCCTCTTGCATTACTAATTCTGACAAGCAAATTTCCTGTTTTATCATTGCATGAAAATATGCATGCTCTGGTGAAAAACGGAAGAGATGTGTTAACCAGCAAGTTGAAGTTCTAATTTATCTGTTTACAAATAGAGGTTCAACTTTAAAAAAAATCACATAATCATATCTCAACCAAAAATTGACATAACTGCGTATCTTGGGCCTCGCCTTCTCTGTGAAGCCTTTCCCAACTGCGCCTGCCTAGGAGACAGTCCTCTGTACACCTGCCCATGGCGCCCTGTCTCCCAGCCCTTACCCCACCTTTGTAACTGCTTCATTATCCATCTCCTCCACTACACGGTAAACTCTGTGAGGGCTGGGACTGGATCATCTTTTTCATCACTCAATCTCAGTGTCTAACAGTGGTGGGGCAGAGTATGTGTTCAATAATATTTACTGAATGAATCAATGAATGACATGTTTACTAAGCAGTTATGTGCCAGGCACAGTGCTACAAAGTTTACACATACCATACAGTCTTAAATTCTCACAATAAACTTCTGTTTTGCTCAAATAAACTCCTACGAAACACTGCTTGCAAGTAGGAAGCCAAGACCGTCTTTCTCCAAAATGACCAGCACACAAAAGGATCTACGTTGATAATTCAGAGGAAAGTTGGTGTTCTAAAAGCCACGTCTGCTTCCTGTCTCACGTGTACTGTAAACATTACACTCCCAGATCTTTTAAAATGCTTTTTCCTCCCCGCAACTTTCCTAATGCCCCTCCCCATTTTCTCTGCCTCTCCAAAGTCCAGCTCAAGACCTGTTTCCTCTACAGGGCCTTCTCCAACCACTCCAGTCCCAATGCTTTCTCCCTTCCTCCTATAGAACTCACTGGCTAAACCACCCACCCAGCAAGTAATAATAATGGTTACCACTTACTGAGCCATTACGATGAGCCAGATACTGCACTGAGCACTTTATGTGCATCATCTCATTTTAATATTCGTAACAATTCTATGAGATAGATAAATTCTTTCCATTTTACAATGAAGAAACTGAAATGTACAGCATAGAAGTAAGGGTTAGAGGCGGGCCTGAAACCCTGTTCTATCTGACGCTAGGGGCTGGGCCACACTCTTGTGTACTCCTTATACTATAATCTAACTTGTGTATTTGTTTTGTCTCATTGTGAGCAAGGACACGGCTAATACCGTGTTTCTTCTCTTGCACTATGCTATGCTTTCAGGTGGGCTCATAAACGTTTGCTGAATGCTCGAAACACTGAAGTTAGAGATCACTAGTTGGAAAATACACTTAAGAAAACACTGTATATATTTGATGAGGCTTTAATTCCCCAGGCAGAGCAGATCTCTAAAGAATTGCTGGCCCCAACAACAAAAAACCAAATCCAAAACCAAACCCGCTGCCGTCGAGTTGATTCCGATTCACAGAGACACAACAGAACAGAGAACTGCCCCCGTAGGGTTTCCAAGGCTGTAAATCTTTATGGAAGTGGACTGCCACATCCTTCTGGAGGGTTCAAACCACTGACCTTTCGGTTAGCAGCCGAGCTTAACCACTGCACCACCAGGGCTCCTTCAGTCACCGTTAACTTACTCTCAAGGATAATTTGAGGAGAAAATATTGCATTCATATTCTGAAAGATGACTTTCACTGAGTTAATTAGTTAAAACGGGTAAGATTTGCTTCCATGGCACTGCCCTTTATTCTCTCTGGAATAAATCTGCCTTCAAGGGTGAAATTGGTTGGAACTGAAGACAAACCAGTGCCTGGCAGATTAGCTGGCACCTATTGGGCCCTCAACAAATACTCAATTGTACTAAAAGGAAAGTGTTATATTTATCCTTTGGAGAAGTTGTCCTAAAATGATCCAGTCCAACCTGGCAACTGCAGCAGAGGCCTGATTGCAGACTTGTGACACGTGGCAGCTGGCTACCAGAATAGATGGATTTCATAAGACTTTTATTGGCTACTTATTGCCCATCATTTCTACACTGACAGAAGAAGTGTCACTCCTGAAGAGGGCAGCAGGAATTCGCATTACAGTTCATGTTTTTTGAGTAAACTGTGAATTTCTCTCCTAAACTAAAAATGCAGTCTGTCAGCTTAATGACACATGAATAGTTAACAGTGATGAGAAACTATTAAACAATAAAGAAAATTCTACATTTAAACTTTATTTAAATGAATATGCATTTGATCAACGAAAAAAAAAAAAAACATGTGAAGGCTAATCCAATTGAATAAGAATACAAAAAGTAATGTAACACCAAAATGGTTGGAAAAACATTACTCTGCAGACTCATCTAAAGATACAGCTGTTAAATAAAGGTCAGGTAGTTGTCCAGGCACAGGATTCTGTCCCCTGTGTTTAATCCTAAAAATGATGCCAATTGGAACATTATATCGGGCAAATGGATAGGCAAATTAAAAGAAGTGGGGAGAAAAGCAAATGAAATGAACTGAGCAATAGTAAAATGAATTTATATAAGAAACTATCAAGCAAATAAATAAAGAGAACTGAATAACTGGGAACCAAATTTGGGGTACGAAAGAACATTCTTCAAATACTACAAGGATGGTTTATTTATCATTACATATTAGTTGATATCCAGGAAAAAATTAGTACGTCAAAAACTGTCCATGAGATTTAACATCCTCTCAAGGTAAATAGGCTCAAAATACTAATAAAAACATTACCTTTCTAAACATAATGGGTTACTATCTAGGACCAACCAAAAAAACCAAACCCATGGCCATCAAGTTGATTCCGACTAATAGCGACCCTATAGAGTTTCCAAGGCCGTAAACCTCAATGGAAGCAGACTGCCACATCTTTCTCCTGCAGAGCCACTGGTGGTTCTGAACTTTTGAGTTAACAGTCAATCGCTTTAACCACTGTCCCTAGGACCAGGTGAATGTAATCTGCTCTTACTTTTTCAAACTTCAGCAAAGTAGAGAACCTGGATATTACAGAGCCTGCCAGACAATTTACGTGGATAATCTGGTAGATGCTAACATATGGTCGGTGAGATAGATCACTTTTACGTGGTCTTTCTCGCTATGGTCTTGTAATTCCCTCCAAAAGACTGGGATTATGCAAATGACGGCTTGTGGCCCACCAAGGGGACTGGATAGCTTGCTAATAATGTAAATGAGGTGCATGGCCCCCCCAGGGAGCATGCAAATAAAGGTATATGGAACCCTAACAAGGGGACTGGTCAGTTTTGCCATCCCACTAGGCTTAAGAGAGCCAATTCCAAAGCAGAGAGGGAACCTGACTACCACCAAGAAGACAGAACAGAGAAGAGACAAGAGCAGAGCCATCCGTTGGACCTGGGATCCATGCACTGAAACCCTAAACCCAGGAGACAGAGAAAGAGCTGTAACACCGAAGGTGGCTGGAAGTACCTGCAGAGACAGAGCGGCAACAGAGGCAGCAGAACCAGGAGATCCACGGGAGACAGCAAGGTGGGCTTCTCACCCATGCAGTGAGAAAGATGAGTGCCTCCAGGCACTTGGTGGAGCTAAGTTTGCTGACCTGAGAAGCTAGAGCTGAGCACCTTCAGGCCAAGGCTTAAGGGCAGCGTGGTATACCTCACGCACTTATTGGTAGAGTTAAAAGAGCTTTGTAACAGGGCAGAGGCAGAGTGTCAGAGAGAGATGTGCCTGTAGGTAAGGCTGAGAAGAGCCTGTGCTGATGGAAGAACTGTATCCTAAGCGCCCCCGAAACTGACTGTAACCTGTTACTTCCCTAATAAACCCTATAACTGTGTGAGTATGGTCTGTGAGTTCTGTGTGGCCATTGCAACGAAAGCTATCGAGTCCAGCACAAAAGTAGAGAGTGCTGTGGGAGGGATGGTTGGAGGCTGGAGGCATGTCTGACCGCCAACTCATAGGAATCAGCCTTGGGCTGTTTATGCTGATAAAGCTTCTCTCTCCCCCTGGAGAAGTTAAGAAGACGTCAGACACTTCCACCATGCCATTTTTACAGTGTGCAATTATGAAAAGATAATTAGGACAGAACACACAGGCCTCAGGACAAAAATGAGTCTTTACCGGGAGGGCAGGAAAGCCATCTTTCTTTTTCTAAGAACTTATCATTTCTGTAAATGTCAGCCTGATAGGTAAAGAACAATGTAATAAATTTTTATTCCCAATTATCTCAGTAATAAGCTACATTCAATGTTAAAAATTAAATGATTCTTGGCATTTAAATAAATGAATATAACAAAATGTAAACTCATTCTTTTTATACATTTTAGTTAAATTCTTTTCCATAAAGAAGCTGCAAATTAACTGATGTGTACTGGCAAGTAAGGAAAACTAAGTTGTGTCTTAAAGTCTAAAACTGTCATCTCCCTCATGTGTAATATTGTTCTTCATTCCTGAAAGCCTTGCCTTTCTTGATTTGATACATTTGTTTTCCCAAGAGTTTGTAGTAGAGCTAAAGTTAGTTTTAAACATCTCCCAAGTTTATTTAAATAACAATTGCACTAAAGTTTTGACTTCATTGTTGAAATTTTAAAAAATCCACTTTTGTTAAACCTAGCTATAAAAACTGTTCTATTGCAATGGACTACAAAAAAAATTTGAGTGAATCTTAAAGTACTATACTACATAATCTGAACATGGAAAGAGAATGCCATTTAAAAGGTTAGGAAAGTAATAGTTTCTTCGCAGAATGCATTTTTTAATTTGTGCAACTCTCCCAGAGTAAAGTACAGCAACTAGCCCTCTCTTATTATTAAAACTGCAGCAAGACTTTCTCTTTTTAGTGCTTTTATTAGTGGTCTATTAGGATGTTTGGACAAAGCCTCTATAGGCTGGTGTCTAAAACCCTCCTAAGGGAGTACAACTGTAGGGTAAACGAAGACTGTCCAGAAGGGCAGAGGACAAGAAAGGAAACAGATGGTCTCTGCTCCCTGAGACCTGGGAAGCTATCTGCACCATACTCGATTCGACCCTCCAAACTCCTATTGCAGATTAATCAAAGTCCAGCTGAGTTCGGCCGCAAGGCCTGCAAAAACAAAAGCTCCTAAAATTATCAAACGGGCTCCGGTAAACTGCTTCCTCGCTAGAGTCGCTCCATTGCAAGATCATCCCTCTCCCCAAAAACATCAACAACAACAACAAAACAAAACCCAAGCCCAAGTTGTGTTTGGTCGTTTCTTTTGTCTTGCTCAATGCTGCCACTTTTTTTCGGAGGAAGCTAACGGTCAGGGAGCCCGGAAGCGCCCTGCGGCCCCGCCAGGTGCCGGGCTGGAGTAACGAGTCGCCCACCGACCCCAGTCCTCCCTGGGCACCCCCGCCCACCCTCTCCCGGAGGGAAGGAACCCATGCCGGCCCGGGATAGGGAGGAAAGGCGGGGACCTGCTCAGACCCAGGCCAAGGCCCTGCCGGCCCCAACGGCCCCGCCGCGTCCCTGGGCCTTGCCCGTCCGCCGGGCCGGGGCCGCCGAGGGCTGAGGCCGCCGGCTCTCCCCAGGGCCAGCAGGGAGCGTAGGCCGCCGCCATCCCCGGCCTGGCGTGCACCCGCAGCCCGCGGCCTTACCGCCTCCACGGCGTGCTGCAGGATGGAGGTGAACTTAGAGAACATCCTGTCCCGGGACTGCAGCAGCCGCTCCCGGGACGACCTGGAGAGCTCCTCGATCCGCCGCCGCCGCCGCCCCTGCTGCGGCTGCCGGGGCCGCTCCAGAGTGAAGGCCGGTACGGAGACGGGACGACGAGCAGAGAGCCGAGGCAGGGCCCGGCCCGGCCGCTTGAGGTGTGTGCGGACGGCGCGGCGGCTCCGTGGGCGCTGCGAAGCGGCAGGCGACGGGGAAGGCACTCGGCGCCGACTCGGGGCCCCGCGAAGCTCCGGCTGCGGTTCCGGCTGCGGCTGCCGCGCCGGCTCCGGCTTGG